GGGAGGGGGGATATACCCCAAGGGAAATTTGGGGAAGCATGGCTCACCTGCCTCTCAGCTAACCCAGGTCAGGAGGGCTTCTCTCGGTCCCAAGTGCATGTAGTGGGTGCTCCTGGCAGTGGTGTTGCTTTGGGTGTCTGCGCCCATGTGTGTCTTTACAGTCGGGTGGAGTTAAGAGAGGGTTGGTGGCTGCTCGGGGAGATGTGCATGTGGGCGTGTGTTTGTCCTTGTGTATCTGTGCAGCTCTGCCTATGAGTGTCTCTTGTGACCAAAACGCCACACGCTGCCCACCCTTGCCTGGGCAGCCTTGCTAAGTGCCAGGCTGGTCTGCGTTCTTTATATGTCTGAACTAGTTTGAGCTTCGTAATGACCCTCTGAGCTTGGTGCTGGTGTCCACGCCGGTTTTGTAGGCCAAAAGCTCAGAACCAAAGAGGGTCAGTCACTTGCCCGTGGTCACACCCTAAGGAAGTGGCAGAGCAGAACTTAGACTGGCCAATGTCCCGCCCAGGTTAGAACATGATGCTGGCCTGGAGTCGGGGGGTCAGGATGTCTGGCTTCTGCCTGTCTCTGGGGTGTGACTTGGGGCGCTGGCCCTCGAGAGCTCCAGGCGGGGGCTCCCCACAGCCCCCCTCAGAAGCTAACCAACCACCCTGTTTCCCTCCGGCCCAGGTGAAAATCTGGTTCCAGAACCGTCGCTCCAAGTTCAAGAAGCTCTACAAGAATGGGGAGGTGCCCCTGGAACACAGCCCCAACAACAGCGACTCTATGGCCTGCAACTCACCACCATCGCCTGCCCTCTGGGACACCTCTGCCCACTCCACGCCAGCCCCTGCCCGCAGCCAGCTGCCCCCGCCGCTCCCATACAGCGCCTCCCCCAGCTACCTGGATGACCCCACCAACTCCTGGTACCACGCCCAGAACCTGAGTGGACCACACTTACAGCAGCAGCCGCCTCAGCCGGCCACCCTGCACCATGCCTCCCCAGGGCCCCCGCCTAACCCTGGGGCTGTGTACTGAGTAGCCCACCTGGCCTGAACCCCCACGAAGGACCCCGGGACCAGGCAGAAGGTGCCTCCGTCCTAGTTGACACTCAGGAATCATGGAGGGGCACAGGTGGGGCGAGGGGAACCCCCCTCTCACCCTCCCTTGCCCCTTCCTCCAGGGACTCAAGCCCTTCCAGATGAAATTTGCATGGACCAAGGATGTCCTCTGAACCTCCCACCAGCTGCCCAGGTGCTGGAGTGCCCCTCGAGAGAGTGGGGCATTGTCCCCCACCCCCAGCCGGCTGGGACAGCCGCTCCCCCTTTGCTCCAGGAACCTGGATCAACTTCCCATGATGCCCATCACCTTGCTGTTTCTGAAACTTATTACCTGTGCCTCAGACTGGACTGGGGGCTGGGGGAGAATGGGGCGTGTGGCTGGTCATATGCATTGGCTGGGGCGCCAGCTCCACCATGGGATCCTGAGACCTGCCCGTCCTGCTTCATCCTCAGCCATCTGTGACCTTCCCTTCCTGAGTGACCCCTCCACTGAAATGACATCGGACATGGTGACTGGGCCTCCCTCCGGGGGTGGTGTCTGAATGAGCCCCGTACCTCTAGCCCTCACTTAAGGATCGGATAGAGGGTTAAACCAAAGACACCCCCACCCCTGCCCTCAAGTTGTGAATCTTGTGCCTTTAAGGAGCTCTGTCCTCACTCCAGGCAGGGGTGGGGGGGCCTAGAGGGGCTCAGACAGAGTCCCCCACACCTTGCCTAAGGACCAAGTGCTTCTTTTATGTACAGGACTTTGCACAATGTTGGTTTTAAAAAGCTGTTAAACACGAGGAAAACAAAGGGCATTGTTAACAGATAGGACCAAATCTCCTCTTGGGCACCTCGGCTCAGCCCCCACCCCCTTCTTCCTCTCCTCCAGTAAGTTGGCAGTTTGGATGCGAAACCCCAGAGCTCCTAGGAGACAGACAAAAACTTCCAGCACCCCCTTTCCGGTGGCCTTGGAAGCAGATTGCTCCCACTGAGATGGAGACCAGGGGGGTGAGGGGCAGGGCGGGGAGAAGGGGAGGGTGATCATGTGGTGCCTTTAGGGGTGAGGGGACCGCTGCCTGCTGGACCTGCCCCTCCCTTACCCAGACAGCTCCCCAAAGCTCCCCCGCCCCCATGGGGCATAGCCTGGAAGCCAAGGGGCGGCGGACAGCAGCGGGAGCTATATATATATATAGTATGTATTTTTTTTTAAGAGCAGCACAGAGAAGTAGCCTCCTCCCTCCTGTGGTTTCCCACTTGTGGGACCCTGTCCTCCTGGACAGAGCAACATGCAAGTTAGAGAAAGAGGACTGGGCTCCGGCTGGGTTCGAGGTGGGTGGGACATAGGGGGGCAGAGGCGGTGGGTCTTGAAGAGTCCCGCTCCAGGGGAACAGGAACAAAACCAACTCCCACTCACCCCAGCCTGCCCATTTCTGCTTTCTTACTGGACCCATCTTTATATATAATGTTAATAAAAAGACGGACACAACTCCTGGGCTTGTTGAATTGGAGGTTGGTGGCAGGCAGCTATCGGGAGGGGCCTCAGGGAAAGGGCCTGGGAGTCCGGGAGGGTGTTTGGGAGTGAGATTGCTTGGAGACTCCAGCAGGGTCCTGGGAGAAATGGCCCTGGTCCTAGCAACCTTGGGATTCTCGGCTCCTCGGCTGGGCTAGGCTGGCCTCAGGTGGCAGTGCTGGAGACGCTGTGGCTACCCCCAGCCTGGGTGGGTCTGGGTGGGTTTGAGGCTGTCGGCAGTGGCCTCCCTCACTCCACTCTGCTGGGCGGCTTGGCATTCCCTGCCAGGCAGCTGCCCTCCGCTGCCGCTGCCCCTGCCGCCGCCGCCAGGTCACCTCAGGGCTGCTCTTTGATCTTGAACTCACACGTAGACATGCTTGCACACGCGTGTAAACCCCTGTCTCCACGCCCAGGCACTCCCTGGCCCCTCACCCTCCTGTCTCTCCCTTTCAGCTTGGGGTGAGGGTGGGGCCTAGGCAGGGGACACCACTGCTCCAGCAGCTGGCAGGGACCCCAGGCTGCTGGGAGCCATGCTGGGGACAGAAGCAAACAGGCCGCCGACTGCGGACTACCAGGTGAGGTGGGTTCTGGGCTGTCTGGGGGGGAGGGGGCGGGAGGGGTGGCTCTCACCCTGACTCAGAGCCCTCGTGCAGCTGCCCATGGCTGCCTGGGCCTGTGTGGCTGCATCTCCCCAACTTCCGGGCTGCGCAAGGCCACGGGTTGGGAGCTGGAGCATGAGGGATACGTCCAGGGCTCAGACAGAGGGAACAGAGTCATCTCTCACATGCTCCCCATAGACACGTGCGTGCACATGCGCACCAAGACACACATCCTTGGGACTCTGAGGACTTGAGACCGACATGTCACTGCCATGCAGACACAGAGGAGGTGGCAACACACCTGAGCCCCCACTAGCATCACCCACACGCAGATAGAGGTGGCTTCTTGTGCTGGAGAAGGTCTGGGAGGGCCCCCTCCTCCCCACCCATCTTAACCCAGTAGCACCAGCCCCCATGAGCAGCAGCTAGGTGACCCAGCCCAGCCTGGCACCTCCCTGGCGGGTCCTCAGTTTCCTCATCTGTCCTATGGGAAGAATATCCGCACCCTGTTGACCTCGAAAGGGGGGGCGGGCTGTCGAGCTGCACCAAGGCATGTGAAGAGGCAAGGCGGGCAGGAGCCAGTCTCCAGTTCACATAAGGGACTTGTTAGACGGTTACAGTCAGAGGAGTGAGTGTGGGGTTCTGCGGGCACGGATCCAGAGCTGTGGGGACCCCCCAGTCCCTACTCCACGCCCTGGCCTCTCAGCAGGCAGGCCTTCTCCTGCCCCACCCGCCCCGACGCCCGAGGGAGGCGGAAGGGAGGAGGGCCTGCAGCCCACGGACGCCAGCCGGGCTGGCGAGGGTTAAGGTGGCAGCTGCCAGGCGGGGCTGAACTGAGCAGTTGGTTTGAGGGCTGCGTGCAGGCAGGAGCAGCGAGGCGGCAGCCGGGCAGACTTGCTGGAGACACTGCATTTTATTAGGGCTGGGCTGCCAGCAGGGGGGGGGAGGGAAAAATGGGCAGAAAGAGAGGAAGGAAGGAGGGAGGCTGGGCGGGCAGGCGGCTGCGGGATGAAAGGATGTTGTAAGCTTTCTAATTCCTCCCTGCTCATCCCTGCTCTGTCAGGCTGGATTAACTGCCCGGGTGACCTCCCCAGGGGGTCAGCCCCACCCTTACCTCCCCTTCCTCCTCTCCTCACCCCCAGGCAAGTCAGGCTGTGCTGTAAGGCCTGCCCCTGGGGAGGGGGGCTGGTCCTTGGTTGGGGGCCCAGCGGGAGCTGCCTCACCCATCCTCACTAGGGGTTTGTTGGATGCACCCATTGCCTCCTGGCAGCCTTTGGGGAAGAAGGAGGGGTTGCCTAGGGAACCTCAGTCTGTTTTGCAGGTCACTGCCCCCCAAACCTCTGGCATTTATCAGGAACTTGAGGCTCGGAGAGAGAGGTTAGGGGTCTGTCAGGTTCTTGTGGCAGGGCTGAGAAGGGGACACAGGTCTGTCTGGGGCATGTGTGCTCCTCCACATGGAGGGGGCTTGTCTGCATCTCTGAGAGGGTCCCCCCACCCCCCTGCAGAACAGGAGTGCCCACAGCCAATTGTTCCCTCCATGAAAGGTGGCAGGCTGGGCTTCTCCCCCCAGGCCTGCTCCTAGGAGTAGCCTAATGCGGTGGTTCGGAATGTGCTCCTGGGGTCAGCTGACCTGGCTCAGAAGCCTACTTTACTGGCTGTGTGACCTTGACCCAGTCACTGCATGTCTCTGGCCTCAGTTTCTTCATCTGTAACGTAAGGATAATGTGCCCTATCCAACAAGGCTATGGGGAGGATTAAGTGGGATAATGTGAGTAAAATGCTTAGCAAGGTGCCCAGTGTGTGGTGAGTGTGCTGCTCAGGGAAGGGAAGGTGCCCTTGAGACCTAGGTGGCAGGGGTTGTTTTCTCAGCATGGTGCCTGCCTCCTGCCCCATCCAGCTCCACCCACCACCAGCTCAGACCCGGGCCCCAAGCAGTACTTGTCATATTGACTGAGCCACCAACCTCCAAGTGCCCTCAGAAAAGGACTGCCCCAGGCGGGGGACCCCAGCCCAGTAAAGGGGGACACAGCCTCTATGCTGGGAGCTCCAAGGCCAGCTGGAGGAGCCACCAGAGAGGGGCCCAGAGGTGGGTGTACCCAGAATGCCTATGCTGCTCGCACGAAGGCAGGGGCAGTCGGGGGGTGCTGGGTGGGAAGGAAACCCCGGAAGTCTTCCTGGGAGAGGTGGCCTTTGAGTTAAGCCTGGGAAGAAGGACGAGTTCATGACAGGTAGAGATGGGGTTCTGGGGAACTTGCCCCTGCCTTCTCTGGGACTTGCATGGTCCTGCATGGGCGGGAGAGCCGGACCGGAGTGAGCTAGGGCCGCTGCTGAAGGCAGGGCAAATGCCCTAAATCCTTCCCTGACCTTGTGTTGGACTCAGCGAGGGTCAGGGGTCCCACTGTCCCCGGCTAACGGGCATGCTAGGGGCTGCCTGACACCTTGAGCTTGAGGAGAGAGCCCTTGCCCTTCCTGTGGGGAGTGGGTGAGAGGGATAGTCCCTAACTCTGTCTCTGAAGCCCCCTCCCTTCCAGGGATCTGGGCACTAGGGAAAGACCCTTCATCCCCCCACCCTTTTGGCAATACACCATCACTACCACTGACACACACACCCAGCCCCACATAGCTACTGCCCAGAGATGCTCTTGGAAGGGGGGTTCTAGACAACTGGGGTGAGGCTCAGTCCCCACCCCCCAGGGTCTTGCCCCTGGCTGAGGGTTCTGGCTAGAGAAGTGGAGTTGCATCAACCAAACCCTGAGGGAATGGGAGGGGAGTGGGGCAGTGGGGAGCCTTCAGCCAGCACCCTGGCCTCTGTTTTTCCCGCTTTAATTGCAGCATTAATCACCTTAATAAGCTGTTTACCAACCACCCAGCAGCCTGTGACTG